CATTATCCCAGAAAAATGAAGACCTGCATTCAGAGAAAAAAACTTCTATGTGAATGTACACAGTAGCTGATCTGTAATAGGCCCAACTCGAAACAACACTATGCTTTAATAGGTGAATCATTCAACAAACTGGAATATCCACATCATAGAATATTACTTAGCAATGAAGGGGATGGATTTCCAGAGAACCGTGCTGAAAGCCAGTCCCACAGGCCATTTATGTAACATTTGTGGGATAACAACATTATAGAAATGGAGGACAGAGTCATGGCTGCCGGGGGTCGGGGATGGGGCAAAGGCAGGGGATGAGTGGGTGCAGTAATAAAAAGGGCAGCACAGGGCATCTGTGTGGTGATGGGATTGTTCTCTACCTTGACTTTGCTGGTTCTATACTTGAGATACACCTGTGCAGAAAACCAAATGCAGACTAGATAGATGGATGTGGTGATGACTACACAACATGAAGGTACTGATGTTACTGATCTGTATGTTAAAAATGGTTAAAACGGTGAATTTTGTTATGTGTCTTTTACCACAATTTTAAAAAAAAGAGAATAGGAAGGTATTTCAGAAGCTTTGAGAGATTAGTAGGCCTACATATTTGTGCTTTCCAAGCAATCTATTTTTTTAAAACTTTCCAATCTGTCATGTAACAATATGTGGGCCTACTGTGTATGATCACTGTGTGGTTCTGGCCATATAAGACACATGTGTTCAAAAATATCTCACCTGGCCTATATATTGCTCAAAGTAAGAAGTCCATCCCCCATGATCTTGAATATCCAGACACTCTCTCTGTCTGTAATAATTTTCTTGTCACAGTCTGGTAACAAAGGGTTGCATGAACCACATTTGGCCAAATGTCTGAATCAAAGCTTAGATGTATAACCCTCTGAGAGCTTCATAGAGATATAGTTCAGAATACCATTTTTTTTTCCTTGTAAAAGATGCTCTTTCCCCTCCTAAAACCATTAGACTGAAAATTGAGGGGAGTCTTATACATGGAAATCGGCCAAGGAGGGAGCCTCATGGGTGTGTACCTGCCCATACCTTGTCAAATAGGCTTCCTCCAATCACAAGCCTATTGTTACTGACATCAGCGAATGCTGTAATTGGAGGTGGAGGTGGAGAGTGCCTAGATGCAACAGGGGTGGAGTGTTTTGAGCTCATAAAGATGTCAAAAAATAAAAAGATAAATACCAGTAGGCAATTGTCTTACTCAGCAAAATTCAAACTGAATGTAGTCAGCTATGCAGAAGAGCATGGAAATAGAGCTGCAAACAGACAATTTGGACCTCCTCCCACTGGGTGATCAGACAGTGGAGAAAACAGGAAGAACAACTCCCTACGATGTCAAAAAAAGAAGAAGGCCTTAAGAGGAAAACCAGCAAAATATTTAAACTATTGATTTCTTAATTTTGGATTGGAAAAGTGGGGGTTGTCTTATACACATAAAAATACGGTAATTCCTCCTGGGTGGTGTAGTTTGTGGGTTCAGGAGCTAACACAGGGGCGCTCCCCGGCTGTTGTGGATCTGGGTCCTTTTTTGGCTATTTCTACTTGCACTCCCCCCTGAGCTTATGAAAGGGGCTCTCATGCTGGACTTGAAAATGGCAACACATGGTTGCTCAGATTCCTTTGCAGGTGGACTCTGTGCCTTAACCTACATTCTGTCCCTTAGGTGTATCTGCCCCAGACTGGCTGGGAGGTTGGGAGTGTGAGGGACTCTGCTGCAGCGATTGCAAGGTCTAGGCCATGGGCTGCATGACTGCAGGGTTGGGGGTGGTGTCCAGTGGTCAGTGACAGCTGGGTTTGCGCTCAGTTTCTGGTATTCAGCAACTGAGGCCACAGCGTCTGCATTAGCATTTGCATCAAAACTTTGGACATCATTCTGGGCTTTTTCCCCTCACCCTGGCTTCCCAGCCTCCTGTTCACTATGTTCAGGGCAGATGTAGGAAAGTGTAAAGAAGAACATCAAATTCATTAGTCACACCATTACTAAAAAAAATAGCATGGTAGTGATTTTCTTTTAATATGTATTTTTTTCTATGTAAAAACTTTTTTTTTAACAAACATGTTATTTACATTCTGCTTCCCTCCTCCCCCCTTTGCATTCTACTATTTCTGTTTAGTGGCATTTGTATGCAAATGCGATTTTAAATATGTGCATAATGTCTTAAATGTATCAACAATCTGTAATTGTTAGTAACTTGGACAATTTAATTTTAAGTAGGCATTTGTTGTTTACATAATTATTTATTATTTACTTTTCTATATAACGTTATTTTTATATACAAATATCAACTAAAGATAACCCGTAATCTCACCAGTCAGATAGTCTGAGTTGGCATTAAAGATTAATAAAACCCACATGGTTAGAAAATTCAAGCCGAAAACTATAGAGTTGCACAAAAAATGAGAAACAGAAACTCCCTTCTACCTTCTGCACCCTAGATCCTTCTTCTACATAAAGTTAAGCACTGTAAAGTTTCTTATGTTTTGTTCTGCACTGTGTGCTTCCCTATTGAGATCATTCTTGGAGTCTTTGTGCATCATTGCTTATAATGGTGTGCCCCTTGCTCTACAAATTCCGCAGCTGTCACTCAGGCTGGCTTGTGACAACGTGGGCTCTTCTGTTGGTTCTTAGGTGTGAGATAAATAGATATGCCAGCTGTGTGTCCCAGATCTCACCAGCCCGCATTTCTTTAATTCTTACCTCCCACCTCCGGAAGGACCTCTAATCCTCAACCTCCTTTGTTTTTCTGGTAATTTGGGGGGAGGCCCCAGGGTTCCCACAGAGGCTCACAGCCAGACTCCATTAGCCTGGGTTTCCAGTGCTGGAAGCCCCAGGGCTCCTGTCCTGAGAGAAGGTCCCTCCACCCTGTCCGGGGCACTGCCTTCCAGGTTGGACAAGGTGTGTCTAATCGATTTGGTCGGAACCACCATGGATTTGCACATACATGCTTACACACATGTATCTGTGGGGATGTGTGTACTCCAAACAGTAACATGCACTGTGGGAAGAGTCAGGCCGCTCGGTTATTGGCTTCTTCTTTATAACAACCATCAGTTTGACCTGTAACCGTCCATATTTGTGCTCACTCAGATATTTGCTTGTGGTGCATAACTCTGAGCACTTGTCTGGCATGGAGGAAGCCTCTGTTTTGACTGCAGATGATGATGTGTGTTTTTTCTGTTTTCCACGGAGGAACAGTGAATTCTCACAGTTGTGGCTGGATAACATTGCATTATATATATATATATATATATATATATATATATATATATATAACACATTGCATTATATATATATATAAATTATATATGTAATATATATATATATTGGACACATTGCATTATATATATATATATATATGTATATAAATTATTGATTTTTACAGAGAGGAAGAGAGAGGGATAGAGAGTTAGAAACATCGATGAGAGAGAAACACCGATCAACTGCCTCTTGCATACCTCCTACTGGGGATATGTGCCCATAACCCAAGGTACATGCCCTTGAGCGGAATTGAACCTGAGACCTTTCAGTCCGCAGACCAACGCTCTATCCACTGAGCCAAACTGGCTTCAGCCACATTGCATTTTGATGGAGAAGCTTAATTATTTGATCTGTAACCTGAGTTTCCAGGATATGTGTCTCAAGGCGGAAAACATGTCTTAGTAAAGATACATTGGCAAATGGGAAAAAGAAAAAAAAAAGGGAGAAAGAAGGAAGAAAGGAATATAGGAAGGAGAGAAGGGAGAATGGAAGGAGAGAAAGCCCATTTCTGCTCTCCCACTACCCTGTAACCATTGGAAAAGTTCGCCAAGTCTCCCCCTGCAGGCTGAGGGTCAGCGGCATCACTGTCTTTGTTTTTGGAACTATTTTGATGCTGCTACTGCTGCCACCTCCGCAGTCACCCTCTCCACCTCCTAATTGCTGCTAGGAAGGTCGTTATGCGTAGTGCCATTCCAGATTCATGCTAAACGGATCAAGTAATCCAAAAATTTGTTTGAGTCACACATTGTGAGACATGCCTTTGGAATGATTTCCTGAGAAAGCCTGGGTGTGCAGAACACAAATATTTTGAATGGACTTATCTGAGAGTTGTATTGCTATTTTTCCTTGTCATTTTAAAACCCTTAATACGAATAAATTGTTTGTACAGTGGAGTGTTTTTTTTTTTTCTTTTTTAATCCTGAGATAAGAAATACATGGTTTGAAAGCAGAGAATAAAAGCATGAATGATAATGTTCCCGATGCCCGCTGCAAGGTCCTGGCTGCCGCTCCTGGGCGGGCAGGCGTTATAGCCGGCTCTTCGGCGTGTTTATTTCAGGCTGCAGATAGTGGATGAAAGTGCCTGGTAGTTTGCCAGCACATGACTTAGTTGCCAAATGGAGTGTTTAGTACTTGTTACATTTGATTTATATCACAAGTTCCTCCCATTAACAGTCTACTGGTGATAACCTACTTGGCTTTTCATGTGGTTTCTTTTGAAACAGCCAGTTGACAACGTTTGGCATATCACAAGGTTTAATGCTGAGTACAGGAGTGAGTGAATGACTACACGGGCTCTGCTGTACCCTGATATGCTGCCGGGCGCACACTGGGTACCCATTCTGTTCACCGAGTGAACAAATCCCGTATGTTGTGTTTCTCCGATTCGCTGCACCGCGCTGAGGTCTCTGGAGGAGAGACTTAGAGGGCTGATGGAGGGGATAGAAGCAGATAGAAATAATAGGGCTTACATGTCTAGAGGGCTTGCATCTGTATGGAGGTTGGTATTCCGCTATTCAGTAGCATCCTTTAAATGCAAAGCATGAATTATGTGGGAGAAGGAAGGCCTCATCCAAACAGCATTCATTCTAAGTCAGGCTGTAACCACGGAATGGGGTTAATTCCCGTGATCTCAAATCTATACTTTTAAACAAGTTCACTTCAGGATTCTTGGCCCTGGATGTGTAGTAACCTATGCATTAACTACGGCGATCTTTATTTTCAGATTGAAAACTTGCAAGAACAACTTAGGGATAAAGACAAACAGCTGACCAATCTGAAGGACAGAGTGAAGTCCTTGCAGACAGATTCCAGTAACACCGACACTGCCCTGGCGACGCTTGAGGAGGCCTTGTCAGAGAAGGTGAGCTTGGACAAAGCAGGGGTATCAGGATTCAGGGAAACATGGTTGGGAGGAGATGTTGCAAATGCATTTAAATGAACCCTCTTTTCTCCCTGCACTCACACTTCCCCAGGCCCAGCTGGGCCGCCCACTCCCCTGCTAGCCCTCCGCAGTAGCCTCCGCTCACTGAAGCCACGGGTGTCCTTTGGAAATGCAAGCCTGAGCACCTCACCTTTGGCCCTGCTTGTCCTGTTCTTGGATGATAAAAAGTAAAACCCTTGACCTGGTCCATACGGTCCATCCCTCCATCTGATTTGGCTCTTATCTGTCTGTCTTACTCCATTTTCTCTTTCCTTCTCCTTTGCCCTTTCTCCCTTGTATTATCCCCCCACTTCCTTCCTCCTTTTCTTTCTTCCTTCTTTCCTTCCTTTCCAGACTCACCCCCTATCTCTCTTTCTCTTTTCCACCTGTGTGCTAGCTAGACTGACCTTCTCGATTTTTCAAGTGTGCCATGCTCCCTCTTACCTCAGACCCTTTGCACATGCTGTCACTCATCCTAGCATTTTCTTTACTCTCTACAGACTTGATTCCTTTTCTTCTGAGAGTTCAGTTTCCTGAGAAGCTATATCCCATAGTAGTTAAGAGTGTGGGCATTGGAGTCAGACTGCCTGGCTTCAAATCCATTTATACTCTGGGCAAGTTACTTCACCTTACACTTCCTCAGTTTCTTTCTCTGTTCTTGTTTAGAATGATAGGTATAATAAATTACAGCTGTTGTTATTATTTTACTACTTACTTTCTCAGGGAAGCCTCATCAGTAAAATCCTTCTTGTGTTCTCATGGATACCATGAACTTCCCAGAGCTCATGCCACAATCTTAATTGTGCTTTTATCTATGCCTACGTGATTAATCGGTCTTCTCTGCTGGACTCCAAGCCCAAAAAGTGCACCCATATTTGGGTGTTATTTATGTGTGGTTAGCTCGCCTTCCCCCTGCCTGGGATAATAATACGTGCACGGGGGAGTGCTCAGCGGAGTTGGATTGAGTGGAATCCCACCAGATGACAGGCATTGCTGTGGGCAGTGGAGTTGCTGCAGAGAATATGGGTAAAAATCTCGGCTGTCATGGAGGTTAGATTCTAATGAGGATGAAGGAGAGACAGACAATCAATAAGTAAATACATGGGATTGCAGAGGTCAAGGAACTCTTTCCCAGGACCTCACATTCCCTTTTGTGGGATGGGAAAATTCGGTTAAATGGCCCCCAGTTCTGTAAACCAGTGTGTCTTCAAGAAGTCTTCTTTGACTTCTACTTCGGAATTACCAGGAGGTGCATGTTGAAAATCTATTATTAGGCAGCACCTATGCCAACTGAATGGGCAGCTCAAGTAGGGACTGGGCATCTGCACGTTAGCCAGCGCCCAGGTCATCTTTATGTTCCCTAGTCCGAGGGCCACTGATCTATGTGAGAAATACAGGGGCTGAAAAATATAGTCCTATTCTATGGCTAGCTAGCTTTCACGTTCCTTATTAAAATGATAAGATTATCACTTTAGGTTAAGTTATACGATAGATGATTTTATTTGAAGACTTTTAAGAGTAAACATAATGGCTTTACAGGGAAAGATATTCTTCTATTTTTAGCTTTGTGAATGTATTGCCAAAGCTCTCTGCAGTAGTTTTGTTCGTAAAATCTGAATGAGGGAATGCTGGTTCAGAACTATTAGTGATTATGTCTCCCTTTTGCAGTTTTTGAGCGATAGGATGTCAGCCTACTTGTTTTCTTTCTCCAAATTTCTTTCTCCAAATTTACAGAAGTAAACATATACCATATAATTTTCCATGTCATGAATTCTTGGCAGGCTTTTATCATTTTTTTTCCCCTCGGCTCTATTAAGATTTGATTTATTCTAGTTTAAATCCCAAAGAATTCCCAAATCTGAAACTACTCCCTTCCTTAAGCACTTCCTTTGAGGCCGAGGGGATGACTGGGAAGGAAGCTGAGGTCTGTGGGAGTCTGGCCCCTCAAACTGCCTCCACTACCTGATAATAGCACCAAGAGGGGCTACCTTCTGTGTCTGCTAGTGCTGTATTTTCAAGATGCAGGTCTAAATGAGCTGATCGCTAAGTTCCGGTCCCTTTGGGGCCCTGCCTTGACTGTAATTGTACAGCTTGCCGGGCCCCAGTCTCAGGCACATGAAAGCTGAATTGCACCATAGATGAGGAGTTGAGAGCTTAGATGTCTCAGAGGACCTGGCAGGGAACAAAAACGAGGGAAGTGGGTTTGGTGCGATGCAGTAGGGACTATTGGTAACTGTGGTGAGTTGGAGAGTCCTTGACCTGTCTCACAACATTCACGTTCAGATTTTCAAAAATTACAATGTTCAAGCCAAACCAAATAGCTTTGGGGGCCAGCTTTGACCTGTGAGCTGTGAGCTTGGAAACCTTATTTGCATCGACTCTTTTGCCTTTCCCAGTAATGAAGAGTAAAAGCAAACAGAGAGATTTATTTAGAGGGAATTTTCAGATGGTGCCACAACCACAAAGCTAGCATACTTGAAAAGCACACACAAAAACACTGAGTAAGAAATGGTAAGGTCCTCTATCATGGGGCAAAGAATAGTAAATTTAAGTATTTATCACAATGGGTATCAAACTTCGGTGTGCATCCAAATAATCTTATCATTTAGGAGGTTCTTTAAAAAATGGTTTCCAGGGTTCCATTTCCTGGCAATTCTGATTTAATTGCTCTGCTGTGGGGCCAGGAACTGGTGATTTTTAACAAGCACGCCCAGTGATTCTGATGCACATGGTCAGTGACCACACTTTGAGAAACACTACATCTATGTTCTTCTTCCATTGTAAGATGGGCAGAGGGCTCAGTGAGGGAAAATGATTGACCCAGAAATTAGAAATTTGGTGCATGTGCAGCACCATTGGCCATTTCTGAGCCCTGGGCAGACATCACTAATCAACTATGGCACAAGCTAACTCCTGAGCCAGCACTCCAAGAAGTCTCTTAGGTTTTCACCTGGCCCGTGGTTGGAACTTTATTGCCTACCCCATGTTAGGATTCTAAGGCCACTCAGCTCACAGGTGATGGAACAGGACTTAATCTCAACCATTCTGATATTTGTGCTTTTAACATCACCATGTCCTTTAATGGCCTTTCCCTCATAAGATCTAATTTTATCCACACAGGATTGAACAGATCCTCTTGAACGCCGACACAGTGCAAAAAATAAAACGATTAATTAAACATTACAGAGCCATCAGAACATTGAATTACTCGCTGTCTTTTGGCCATTGAATAGAACCTGGTAGGCATTATTCACCATTCCACTTGGATTATTACATCCCGTGGCGTGTGTGGTTGGTTCCTTTTCATTTCCAGGAACTTACTCAAATATTCGGAGTGTGAAAAAAATAATGCCACTTAGCAAGTTAAGATTGAGTATGACTTAGTCCGAGAATTGACACACAGAAGCTCAGCAGACAGAACCCCTGGTGTTTGTAAAGTGGTCTCCCAAGCCTTGCTGCGACCACATGGCAGATAAGCAGCGGAGAAAAGCAGATAGCAGGGCCGGAGGCCACTGCAGTTCAGTTCCACCCAGTGATAAAGCACAAATAGATTAGACTGCACTGAGCCAGAGGAGAGCACCAGGAACACTTGCCAATGCAAATAAGACTAAAACAAGAACACATTGTTGGAATTTCTACAAGTTAGCTGTTAATCAAGTAGATCATGGCATATTAGGGCTTTTTAACACATGTTTTTGACATCTGGCCCTGTGCGGCTGACAGTTAAATTAGTTTTGTGATTGACGGAGAAATATTTTGGAGTATTGAATCATCAATAACACTTAAAAATGTTACACTGCTTGCTGATTTTTTTTGTCATCAATGCCCAGTCAATAGCACAAGTGCTTAGAGCAAAATCAACCTGCTCTCCAAATGACTCGGACACCTTCCGGATGTTAACACACATACTTCGTTTTATTTCCCTTCCTTGGAAGACAAGATGATCCCTCATTTGAATCCTTACTTCTTCCATCAGCTTTTTTAATTGCCTGGTGTATGCCAGACAGTTTGCCCAGCCCTTTGGATGTGAGCACTGCCCTTTGAGAAGCTGGCCCCGGAGGATGGGCAGGCTGGAAGCCACGTGAAGGGTGCTGAGTGGGAATAAATGCCACATGACCAGGCCAGAGTGGTTCTTGGGAAGGCTTCCAAATAGTGAGGTGACACCGTCAGTTTGCGGTGGACGTGATGAGATGGAGAGGGCCTGGTGGCCAGGTGACCAGGTGACCATGTGACCGGCTCGAAGGCTTTTGCATTAAGTGTAGGCAAAAGGCAGCAAGGGCTCAGTTGCTGAAATTGTTAAAAGCCCTTGAGAGTCTACCCATACACTGAGGACATTTCCTTCTTTTGTAGATCACATACCTGGTTTGGCTCAGTGGATAGAGCGTCAGCCTGGAGACTGAAGGGTCCCAGGTTCCATTCTGGTCAAGGGCACATGCCCAGGTTGTGGGCTTGATCCCCAGTAGGAGCATGCAGGAGGCAGCCGATCAATGATTTTCTCTCATCACTGATGTTTCTATCTCTCTCTCTCCCTCTCCCTTCCTCTCTGAAATCAATAAAAAAAATATTTTTTTAAATATTGGTGTGGCAATGACACTTAAATATCCCAATATTATCTTTTATATTTTTGTAAGCACATAATCATCCACTTACCAGTGTCACAGACAGAGTAAAATAGGACTGTAACTGGAATCAAGAAGAAACAAATACAGGCTATTAATGACTCATTTTTTCTATTTCTACCCCCACTATTGTAATAATATCCTTCATTTTAAAGTATTTTTAAATAATTGTAAAACAATAATGGTAGTTTTTTCCCTCCTTGAAAGCATTAGATACATAAATTATTGTCATTGAGGTAGAACAGTTGCTTCCCTGGGGGATCTTAAATCACAGACTCAATGTTCCAGCTAACTTCCCTCTGCATTAACCACCAGTCTCCATTGCCTTATGCATCAGGAATTGTCTTGTACTATGTGCTTACAAAAATATAAAAGATAATATTGAGATATTTAAGTGTCATTGCCACACCAATATTATATATATATATATATATATATATATATATATATATATATATATATATATATCTTTTATTGATTTCAGAGAGGAAGGGAGAGGGAGAGAGAGAGATAGAAACATCAGTGATGAGAGAAAATCATTGATTGGCTGCCTCCTGCATGCCTCCTATTGGGGATCAAGCCCACAACCTGGGCATGTACCCTTGACCAGAATGGAACCTGGGACCCTTCAGTCTCCAGGCTGACGCTCTATCCACTGAGCCAAACCAGCCAGGGCCACACCAATATTTTTTAATGATGCATTCAAAAAGCAAGTTCAGATATGTGTTGAGTAATTTGAAACAAATTTTAGAAATCTAACTCAAACTTTTCTCAAGTGGAACTTTCCTTAAAAGAAAAAAGTTTCTTATTTTGATATCAGTTGTTCAGTTTGGGACACATTGTCTACCAGAGTAGTATTTTAAAAAAATGTATTTATTGATTTTAGAGAGAGGGGGGAAGGGAGAGGGAGAGAGGGAAACATCTATTGGCTACCTCCTGCATTATCCCTATCGACAATTAAGCCTGCAACCTGGGCATGTAACCTGACCAGGAATCAAACCAGTGACCTCTTGGTGCATAGGATGATGCTCAACCAACTGATCCACACCTGTTGGGCCAACATAGTATTTTATTTCCGTTTTAAAGTCAAGGGCAGACAGATCCTCAGCTCTCCTTGGATGGCTCCATGCATATGTTGCTGTCAGTCTGTTTTCATGGGCTTCTAAGACTAAGAGATCCCTGGATGTCAGCCTGGGCCTTCTGCTTGTGAGCTGAGCCACCTTGGATAAGTCAGTTGACCTTTCTGTGCCTGAGTTTCCTCATTCTGCACTGTTCCTAGTAGCCGTGGTTCAGACCTCGCTGTTGTGCTGAGGACTAGGTAAGCAGGCAGGTTATAGTACCTAACACATAGTAAGCTCTCAGTAAGGGAAAGCTGCAATGTGAACTTTGCTCAAATTTAAGCAATGTTTTGGAGTCTCTACTGATTGCTAATAAACCACTGAAAAAAATTCTGAAAGTAAATGAACATCTCCAAGACACAATGGACAATCATATATATAATCAAATAATTTTTAATTTTGTTTCAAGTTTTCACTTGAGTCAGTCCTACGTCCTGCTTCAATCCACTTTCTGTTCAGAGAAGAGTCTTCGGAAACCGAGGAAAAGTCTTTGCCGTCAGATGGGAAGGCAAGCAGAGAGGGTGGGGCCAGCAAGGCTTTGGCAGGTCTGGAGCCTTGGTGCCTGAAACTCTCTCTGCTGGATTGCTATTGACATTTTCCAAGCACCACCATGAACCAAAACAGCCTCTGAGTTTGAACACCAATATCCCTAGTGATTCTATGATGCTAACTTTCATCAACAAGTCAAAAGCTTGTATTGATCGTCTGCTATGCCTCTCTTCACATACCCAGATTTTAATCTTGTATCTTGTGTATTGATTCTTGTAGAAAATTTCTTACATTTATCGCCTCATTTCTTTTGATAGCATGTCTTGCCATGTTGTACTGATGGTGTTTCACTTTTTTTTTTTTTTTTTTTACCATTGCCTCCCAGGAAAGAATTATTGAGCGCTTAAAAGAACAGCGGGAAAGAGATGATCGGGAAAGACTAGAAGAGATAGAATCTTTCCGAAAAGAGAACAAAGACCTGAAAGAGAAGGTCAATGCTTTGCAAGCTGAGCTAACTGAGAAAGAGGTGAGTCTGGAGAAACAAACGAACCATGTTGACAGTCCTCAGAAACCCCTATTCATGGCAGCCTCATGAGACTAATAACTAAGTGTGAGGGCATCTGTGAAGGCTGGGGAGCATCCTTACCCTTATTTGATAAAGCTGTCTGAGTTCAAAGAAAACATATTCTGTAACTCTCTTCATTGGTGGTGCTCAATGCATACCTTCTCTGCTAGCTGCATGTGATGTAGCTCCTTGAAATTCTTCTTGATGCCTTGGCCTGGATGTCATTGTTCCATGATATTTTTTGTTTGAGAGAGCAACAAAAACATCAACAATAATAATAACAGCTCCATTGCATTGAAGGCCTTTTATGTGCTTATCCTGGAGCTGGGTGATTTTCATTCATCTCAAATGGGTCACTCAATCCCCAGGTTAAAATATATGGTACCAGGCTGGACACAATGGTGTAGGTTAAATGTGGCTGCTCTCCTGGGACATCATTTTCACATGGTGGTAAATAATTTAAAATAATATTTTTATATTGGAGCAAATATGGAAACAGAAAACATCTCACCTGCATTTTTACAGTAAAACAATATACTTTAAAGAAATTGGTTGTTGGGGGTTATGGAGAGGACGCTTTGGACTATAACCCAATACTCTTCACTTTCCTTAGGGGTGTTTTGGGGAAGAGGTTTGAGAAGCAGCAGTGCACATCATTCAGTCTCCAAAACTCGGAGACATGCACCATTGTTCATGGCCCCTTCACCCTCTCCTGCAGGGCTGTTCCAGACCTTTCTCTCTGCTGGGCTCCATCACTGCAGGGTTGCCCATTTCTCAGCTGCAAACTGTTACCTCAACCAAAGGATTCTGATAATTCTGTATGAATCAAAGTACAGTCTAAGTTTGGAATCCGAGAAGAGCAGAATAGATGAGTAATAGGAGTTTGGGAGAAACTCAGAAGCTAAATTTATGCTCCCTAAAATTTAAACTGAAAATTTAAGTCTTTATAGAGGAGATTATGGTTTGTATATGAAAATAAAGAACACAAATCCTCTTGCTACTCTTATTTCCTGATCATCCAGCCTGGGCATCTATAACTACTGTATTGATAAGTGACCAAAGCACAGAGTTTTGCTGCATTTTTCGCCAATGGCAAGTGTTCTTTATGGATTTGCACCTTGAAATACACACACACACACACACACACACACACACACACACGCATGCACACACACTCCCCTATTTGAAACGAGATCTTGATGACATGGCGGAGCATAAGTTTTAAATGAAAATAATTTTGTAAACAGTGCCTACTCTGTACAAATGTCAGACAGGCATTTCAGCAAACATTTATTGTTCCTGTATAATAATGTGCCTGCCACCGGGCTGGGAGAGTCCGTCAAGCTTGCACCAGAGAGACAGAACTGTATTAAGAAATGTAACCACATTAAGCAATGTGTCGCAGGGAATTGGCTTACATATTTAGGGGGGCTAGTTCACTTTAAAATTTAGAGGCAAGTCCCTAATTCATCAGGAAGGGCAGACTGGAGATCCTCTGAGGGTAGGTGACGCTGCAGTCCACAGGTGGAATTCCTTCTGTCTCAGGGAAGCCACCATTCTGCTCTTCAGACCTTTCAACGTTTAGGATCAGGCCCACCAGGTGGTGGAGAATAATATCCTTTGTTAGCATCAGCTGACTGTAGATGTTAGTCACATCTACCAAATCCAGTTACAGCCACACTCAGTTTAGTGTCTGATGGAAGAACAGGGGACCACAGCCTAGCCGAGTTGACATGCAAAGCTGTTACACCCAGCAGTTTAAAAGCTATCTGGAAAATAACATGCAATTGTTGTCAGCAGGGAGCTTATAATTGAGATGGGGAGGTCACAATCTTCACCAGGACAGGATGTGTGGAGTATAAGGTCCTTCATTATTTCTGGTGGAGTGATATGATCAAGAGCATTGCTGTTTGAGCTGGAGACCTGGGTTTGAGACCTGCATCTCCCTTTCATAGCCTGGTGACACTGGAAAAGACACGTAGCTCACATGAGCTTCAGGTTCCGGACCTGAAGAATAAGAATGGCTCACCTGCCCCTCAGAGTGTTCCTAGGAGCTGGGCTGCTGGCTGGGGAATGGTGGTAGTCATTTCATCAACAAGATGATGCCAGTGCCTGGGAAGCAGCCCAGAATTAAAGTCTCAACATCACTTACTGAGAGAGCACTGAGTGCTTAGTGTCTACCTTTGTGTTGCAAAGGGGTGTATAGGAAATGTACACTGTCTGATCTGGGTGAAACGTGAACATTTTAGTCACATAGTTAGATGTGGCTAATGATTTCATATTTAGTGATGGACATGGTCCCCCTAGCCAGCAATGTTAATATAAAAAAGGAAAGAAGTATATATATATATATATATATATATATATATATATATATATATATATTTCTTTCTTTTTAAAAAAATATATTTTATTGATTTTTTACAGAGAGGAAGAGAGAGGGACAGAGAGTTAGAAACATCGATGAGAGAGAAACGTCTATCAGCTGCCTATGTGCCCACAACCAAGGTACATGCCCTTGACCTGAATTGAACCTGCGACCTTTCAGTCCTCAGGCCGACACTCTATCCACTGAGCTAAACTGGTTTTGGCTACTTCTTTCTTTAGTTTTTTAGAATTTAGACTGTACAGGGAAACCCTTGGTTTCTGGGTGTGCATGATGAAGGGACCAATTTAGGTGAATTGGAAAGATTCATTCTATCTGCTGAATCTGGATTTACGGTGGACTGGGACAGAAAGTCTACTCTACATTTTAAAATAATCGTGTCTTCGATTACACAGAAGATGTTTGAAAAATCCATTGGCCATTTGTCTGCTAAAGAAACGGAATTGTATCACCACTTAATAGGGTGTTTCTTTTATGCGTGGTTTTCCCAGAGAGGGAGGGTGGGAAAGCACTAAAGCACGTATTTTCTTTCCTATTTGTCTTAGCGTCTGCACGGCCTGACAGCAATAAATGTAAATGGGGGTTCAGGGTGTCTGCTTTGCCATGACATGTAAAGACCACCTCGGGACTTACATCATTAGCAGGACCTGGAGACGTGAAACATGCATTTACTGACCACACCGTTCGGTCACATTGGGTTCTGTTGCAATTAGATCCTGCTCGGTTCTGTAAGCTGGCCAACTTTAATTTCCTGGCCAGAGCAGACCATTGTTACGTTAGTAAGACTATATTTACTCTTTCTGCCTCACGCACACTTTATGGCTATGTATAGAATCAATGCATTCAAGTAGAAGGCATCGCTGGCAGACATGGCAGGGTTTTCCTTCCTCACGGGTGTTCTTTTTCTTGCAGTCTAGTTTAATTGACCTCAAGGAGCACGCATCTTCGTTAGCCTCGGCAGGGCTGAAAAGGGACTCGAAATTAAAATCTCTAGAAATAGCCATCGAACAAAAGAAAGAAGAATGTAGCAAATTGGAAGCGCAGTTGAAAAAGGTAAGTGAGGCCGAAGGAAAAGGAAAACCACGTTCATTTTGCAATGAATTTATAAAATTGGAAAGGAAAGGAACCAAACCCCTTATCTTCCTCTGTCTGCTGATAAAAGAATTAAACACTCTTAACTTTATTCCTAAGAAGTCTGCATCGAATCTGTCTGTGAACCTGAAAAATTATCTTAGGTTTCCTATCTGGAAAAAAAAAATATTGAAAAAAATACATGAAAATAGCAGTGGAAATAAAAACAAAATATAAAAGCCAGCCATTACTCTCTGGGCAAATCTCAACTTACCAGAAGAGATAAATGGAAATATTTGCGACCAACCAAAGAATCCAGGGGCCCGGTTATACTTTGATAAACTTTTACTGCTGTTAGAAGTAGGCCCGTTTTTCTGTTGGAACTTTGCAAAGTTTACCTGACAACATTACATTTCTAGAAGTTCACCAAAATAGTCAAGCCCCGGCATCTCTGTGGAATGACTATTTCTATTTGGCCTAAGCTGGCCCTGCTTTCTGAGGGAGCTTGTTTTGCGTGAGGCTTTGGGAAGAAGGCAGGAGAGAAAGCGTTCCCATGTCTTCCCCGGGCTGCACATCTCTGTGGGGCACATCCCAGTCATGCATCGTGCCTTTGACTCTTTCCCTGTGTTGTTTGGTGCGTCTGCATTCATTGTTCACAAACTCATAACATTATGAGTTTAAGCATTTTGTTTCCCTTTGACAACATATAGACTTACTCAAAGGTGATGAGATGAATCTAAAAAAAAAAAAAAAGGAGAGAGACAAAGCATATAAAAAGTTGACTGTATAATTCATAGCCCATTGATGGGGATTTATTTGCTGAAGTTATGAAACTATGATATGGACGATAGGGATGTGAAAGCATTATATACCTGTGGAGAAATTATTCTGGATACCTTAACATTTAATAGGCTATTTTGTAGGATGCGATATGTAACTGAAATGTGATTGATTACACAATGTTCACTTTACCATGGGATTTTAGGAAATTGTCGTGAGAAATGTCTTACTAACAAAAAGTCTCCTTACCAATACAGAAAAGATAAATATACAGATCAAATCCCCTTGTAACAAAACAGCAAGAAAAATCTCTATATTGCAAAATCTGTTTCCCAATCTACTCAACATCTCACTTTTTTTTCCCCAAGCAATTTCCAGTTAAGCAGAAATCTTGAACAATAAATAGAAGAATTTAAATTGCCCATTTGAGAGTGTTTAAATGGAGAGTGACTTGGCTATTCATGCAGTGGGTGTAAATATACATTCTTGACACATATATACATGTGTTCTGCAATATGTTATACATGCATGTGCATACCAAGAAATGTACTTTTTATTTACCGAGCTGTTTTGTGATCACAGAGCAGGCTCTAAGATAACTCTGTGAGACAGGGGATGTCATTGGCTCTCTTTGATGGTCCATGTTATCTCACCTTCATCAACTCGGATGGAGATGGGGACACACCATACATTATTTCTACAGTTTATTTCTCTAGACACCCTCCCTTTTAGTGTAAGTCATCTACGAGATTTGAAATCCTCTAGTAATGAATTAAAAGGGAGAGGTTCACATATTGATGCTTATGGTTTCCATGTATATATGACTTGACCAGTTTAATAAATCAGCATCTATGCAATTCAATTTTGTTTCTTTCAACATAGCCATGGTTAGACCGAGAAATCATTTTGAGCATGTGGTTTCCTTCAACACACAGGAAGAGGCCATATACTGAAACTCACAAATCAAGCTCTGTAAACATTTTAGCATTATTCCTAACAATATTTTAATATTCTGCCACATCACTAGAATTAAAGTAGCAAATATGGTTGTCTTACTCTAAAGGACTTACTTTATTTATGAAAGTATAACTTATTTCTAAGTATATAAATAATCTTTGCTTATAGTATCTCCTAAATGCGTAGTATAGTGAGATTAAATAAGTTAATTATAATTTAAATATTTTCATACCTAACCTGCAGATGCTATTTTGTTATTTTTGGCTCTTTAGCATCAACTAAATTCAAAAGTTTAAAATACTTTTTCTAGTAGTCTTTAATTTCTGCTAATAAATAGTTCCGTAAAAACCTCAAGTACCCATCACCTTAAAAAGAATTGAGATCTACATGAAATATTTGAAATTATAAGCCAACAGTATGTGAATATACATATAAACACATCATTTACTCATGGAAAAATAAGCAGCTATAAAAGCTTAAGGAGTGTCTGGGCCTCCCTTTAAATAAAAGGGTATGTGACTTGTGAATAAAATATAAAGGGTTACTAAATGAAAGCTGAAAACATAATAGTTTTATTATGTCATAAATAAACCATGAATTCCCAATGGAATTTTGCTCATGATTTGTGAGTGTCCAGGTAGTTTTGCCATAAAAATCTACACAACGTAGATGTGTTTAGCTGAACAGAAACCTTGTCTGCCAGTGACAATGGAATCCAAATGGTGATTTAAATTTGTTTTTTTGTCTTATAAACAATTCTTGAAATTAGTAAAGTGAGTGATTATATAAAAGTTTGTGGAAAACATTCCACATACATAGTTGCTTTTAACCCTTTACTGTACTGTGTTAATTAAATACTTTGTGATGAAAAGTGGTTACAGGCAGAAAAGGAACTATTCTTACACATTCCACCTCCTGTCTTAAAAACAATGCAATCAAATGTCCTCATGTGAGGAAATCTCTACCGATAGGCTGGTAAAATGGTACTAACCAAATAAGGCATGGCTACTAGTTATATGTGTGCTCTATAAACTAGTGCATTCATTCATCTTAAATAGACACTTAGGGATGGAGAAGAACTGGTCAGGGACACATAGATCGATTTGTCTTTCAGGAGAGTATTTGGTGTTCGATTTGTGAAAGCAATTTACCTTAGATGACGAGAAATCAATTGAGAAGCAATAGCAATGTGAAATGTTTTTATTTGCACTCCTTGTTAATTTCTGAAAAGGGTATTTTTTTTAACCATGGTAAAGTTATTATTTATTTTATTAAAGTTGAATAAACCAAAACATTCAGGCTCTTCAAAGACACATGTCTTAGTGTAAAGCAAAGCAAAAATTTCCTACAGTATTTTACCTTCTGCACCTTGCCGACTTGCCCCATGTTAATGATGCAATTATTTGAGAAACAGAACTTGACAAAACTATTTAAAATAATGTTTTGTACATGTAAGTCCACAAACATTGAACACTCTACACAACATAGACCAGAGAGCATTGCCGATTCTTAAACACTTGGATCATAGTAGGAAAGTCACTGAAAATGATTTTTTTTAATTAATTACAAACTAACGGTAGAAATTGGTAATGAACAATGGGTAATGCTGTATTTTGGTTCCCTCCATTCTTCCTGCTGACTGAAATTTTTACTTCTCCCATTTACTCTTAATCTGTAAAGTCTTGCTTACTGATATTTTGCTATTGCTAACCTGCTGTTTGCTGATCTATGTTTTTCTAAAGTTAGACTGAATAGAAAATTCAGGCTTGTGTTAATATAAAAGAAGAGCTATAAATTCAATGATAAGATTTAATTAATCTTTTATTATTACCATCTTTGAAGTTCAGGTAATAAATTGCAAGCTTGGCCAAAAGTACTTCTCCTGATTCATTGCTAGAGGCCCGCACTTCATGTATCATCAAAAGTGGACAGCTTTCTTTATTTCATGGGTTATTTAACTTGAGAAAGGGAAAGTAACACAAACCTTAAATTTCTTATTCCAGCTATTCTTTTCTAGGAGCCAAAGTCAACATTTCAATTTCCCCAGAGCCTCTCACTTTCACTGTGGAATGTTTAGAAACTGAAATTTCTTCTTTTTTAACGACCAAGTTTGTCTGTGCAAATGCACTGGATTTGTTGAGCTAATGCTGTTTTTCTGGATCTTTCCTTCTTTCCCTGTCTGTGCTTCAATGCCTCCCCAACTTTGCAATGTAGCAAGCTGAGCAGTTGTTCAATCAGATGTACAACCCAGTAAGTCATTCCTGAAAGTGCCTGCTGTAACATATCAAAGCATGAGGATCCATTGATCACATGTCACAGTGTGCCATACTGGGGAGGTTTGGAAAATATTTATGAGTCTCCTCCCATTTCCGTTTTGTCAGAAGAAATGACCTGTGCGTAGTCCGCGGCCATTTCTTCCGAATGCGAAATTTAAAAACTAAGAATCCAGGGAAACGTTGCTAGCTTTGATATTACTATTAATACCTTCTTCAAGCCAGGGCTATAGAAAAGCCAAGGTCAGCCGCAGATCTAGGCTCACGGAATTCTTTCTGAAATCCTTAAGTGCACACTCAGGTAGCAAACAAGTCAACGTGTGCTACATTTAAACGATAGAAGTTAAAATAGGTTTAGATCTAAACATAGGGTTAGGCTCTTTGAGATTGGTAAATGCCTAACATGATTGTGGGTTTTATAAGAGTTAAAAACGTGTCATTTGTCTGAGGACAAACTAAGACATAGTCTCCTAATAACAGCAGATAGTAACAGTTCTGATTATGGCTTCATGGTACACAAACAGGTGACTAGTAAATATATGTGCAAAAGGGTCAAGATACCTTCACTGATTCCTTTTATCCTAATGACAGGGGTGCATTCGCGGGAAGCGGTTTGTTTCTTTAACACAATTTAAAGAAGGACTTTTCATGCTCTGTCAGCTCAAGTGGCTTACTGGGAGACATAGTACCCGAAGGCGACCAGACTGTGTCATTTGGCAGATGTGATCTGTGCCATCACGCATTCCAGTGACCTCCTGGTTATAAACGCCCCTCCCAAGGAAAAGGGGCGGGGCCGATAAAGGAAAGCCCTCAGCCCATCACGTTTTGTTAAGCCACTGCTCCAGACACCAAGGCAGGACACCCAGGATGCTGGGTGTCTTTAATCAGATTCAAGCTCCACCCCCCAACTCTTTAATTTTTTAAAACTGAATTCCTCATGCCTTCTTCGGGCATCTTTATTAACCTCTTTGC